TATTTTTTCTACCCCTATTTGTTTGGAGTTTTGCTACCAGAAAGGAGACTCTGGGTGCTCAGACCTGTCTCCTGCCACTGAAGGTAAAGTGAGGGGTTTTCTCTTCCCCTTCTTTCTTTGTCATTTCTGTTCATGTCCTTTAAATCTCCAGGGTCCCTGGTTGCCAGCCCTGGTGAGAAGCTGCCACCTACTAATTCCCTTGCTGTCCTCTCCCTCCCAGACCTGGGAGGATTTCTGAAGGGAAGTTTCCAAAAGGGCAAAGACACAGCCGACTCCACAGAGAAGGTTCTAGATTCCAGCTCTGCAGAGCCCAGCAGTGAGGCGAGGTGGGCTATAGAGGGCTGACTGCTTTCTGCTTTGATTTAGCTTTTTCTGCTTTGATTTAGCTTTGAGGATTTCTGGTTCGCTCACCCAATCACCTAGAATTCATATCATTGTTATTTCTTTTTCTTCCTTTTCAAAATCTGACCTACCTACTTTAGTTTTAAGAGCTGTGGGAAATTATTTTTCACAGCCCAGAATTATATTTCCTCAATTCCTCCTGTTATCTTCACTCTTTCCCCTCTGACACATGTCAGTTCTTGTCAACCAAAGATACAGGTGGGAAGGCTAGTATGCCTGTGGGCAGGCCACGGGGATTTTTTTTATTAATTAATGAAAAAAAGTTTTTCTTCCATTGTAGTCTCCATAGTTTCCCTGCTACCCATGAACCATCGTCATATGTGTGTTCATCCCTCCTCTCCCCCCGCCTTTGCTGTATGGTTCTGTGTTGTTAGTTTTGACTATTTCTTTTTTATTTTTAGAATTAAAAAAAATTTATGCATACAGAACTGGGGTACAGGCCAGAGATGCAGGGGCATTGTGAGGCCTCACCAGGCAGATCGACGAAATACACTGCTGAGGGGAGCAGCGGGTGGGTCAGGAGAGGTCTGCTGTGCCACGTGGGTCACCTCCGGGCCGGAAATCAAACTCACACTGAAGCTAACACTGACGTGGTAGGGGGCCAGCTTCTTTGCAGCGCTGTGCTCCAACCTGCTGTGCTGCCAGGGAGGGCTCTAGTTTTGACTATTTCTTGACTTTTTGTTTGGTTTCTCTCTATTCCACATTTTAGTGGAACCATCCAGTATTTATTGTCCTCCTTCTCAACTAGCATAGTCCGACTCCAGCTGTGTTGCCACAAATGGCATGAGTTTGTATTTTTGACTTCTGAGTAATATTCCATTGTATAAATGTACCACAACTTTTTGATCCATTCATCTATTTTGGGGCTTTTGGGTTGTTTCCATATCTTGGCTATTGTAAATAGTGCTGCTATAAACACAGGAGGGCAGGTTTCCTTTTCAATTAGTGTTTTTGGGTCCTTTGGGTAGATTCTTAAGAGTGGAATCACTGGAGCATGTGGTAGTTCCATCTTTTTTTTTTTTTTTGAGAAAGAAAAAGTTTATTGCCCTTCTGGTGGTGCAGTGGGTTAAAGCACAGCACTGAGAAGCTAAAGCCATTTCTGCATGAGTTTGATTCCCGCGCACCCCGGAGGTGACCCACATGGCGTGGCAGACCTCTCCTGGCCCGCCCGCTGCTCCCCTCAGCAGTGTTCTTCATCGATCTGCCTGTTCTGTTCCCCACTCTGTCTCTGGTGAAGCCTCTCACCGCCCCTGAGCCTCTGGCTTGTACCCCAGTTCTGTATGCACAAATCAATAAATCTTTAAAAAAAAAAAAAAGAAAGAAAGAAAACGTTTATTAAGGAGAAAAGGAACAGAAATAAAGTGGGACTCCAGGATGGTGGAACCAGACCACGTCGGGGCAAGGAAGCCCTGTAGATCCATCTTTACTGTTCTGGAACCTCCACACAGCTTTCCATAGTGTCTGGGCCAGTTTACATCCCCACCAGCTCTGTAGGAGGGTTCCTTCGTCTCTACATCATTGTCAGCATCTGTTGTTTCTGGTTTTTTAAATGTGGTCCATTCTTATTGGGTGAGGTGGTATCTCACTGTGGTGTTGACTTACTTGTATTTCCTTGATAACTTGTGATGTTGAACATTTTTACATGTGCCACCACAGGGGTGTTTGCCAGACTCTGGCTGAGCTCAGCATTGACTCATCCACAGAGTCTTCATGTCCTGAGTTTTGTCATGGTGTGGCAACTACTTTGACACTCTGCTGTTTCTTGGGTGTTATTGGTAGACGGGGGCACTGCACTGAAGACTTCTTAGCCGTGTGGTCCTGCAAAGAATGAATTCTCATCACCCAAAGCTGATTGCTCTCTTCCTTTTATTTTTAAAACTTTACAACTGTGCATTTAACTATTTTCACTGTTAGTCTTGAATAGTCCCATAGTTAAGAGGATTTTGAATGTCTTAGCTAAAATGTAAACTTTTTCCTGTTGAAATATTGTGCAGCTGTGAGAATGAAATACGTTCCCCTAAATTAGGAACGTAAGTTGAGCCTGAAGAACAAAGCAGGCACCCCATTAATCACAACTAAAAAATTTAAAGGGCAGTTTACATACAGGGGCCCTCAGCACCAGAGCCAGCAGACAGGATGTGAGGTAGAGGCAGGACCCACATTACTCACCCTGACAAGGGTCTTCTTATACTCTGCTTGATCTATGTGGTCATTCTCATGTGAGGCTGATGATATATGCAGGGGAATACATCACAGGCATCTTTGTTCTATTGAGATCAGTAGGGTTGTATATGGACCACGAGTATGGAAAAATTTGCATGAAACAAACAGTGGGAAAGTTAGCTACCCTCCTATGGCAGGGTAAGCACCAGTCACAGGCCCAAGATAGTATTGATACAAGATGGTACCACTTCGATTTTCCTACACATAGAAAGAAGCAAGCCTTGCTACTTACTTTATGCATCCTTTCATAAAGGAGCTGATGCTTAAAAATTCTTTGCTTTTTGTTGGTGGGAATGCAAACCAGTCCAACCACTTAAAAAGCTGTGTGGAAGACCCTCAAATTACTAAAAATAGATCTACCATATGACCCAGCAATTGCACTCCTAGGAATCTACCCAAAGAACACAAAAATAATAATTCCAAAGGAAATCTGCACCCCTGTGTTCATTGTATCACTCTGAAAACAACCTAAAAGCTCAAAGGCAGAGGACTGGGCGAAGAATGTATGGTATATACACACAATGGAATATTATTTAGCAATCAAAAAAGATTTGCATGCTGCAACATGGATGGAGCTGGAAGGGATTGTGCTTGGTGAAATAAGTCAGAAGGAAAGAGAAAAATATCAGCTGGTGCCATTTATAGGAGGAACATAGGGAAACTATATAAGGGGTCAGGAGGAAAAAAAAAGACAAAAGTAGCAGGCAAACTATAAATCGAGACATGGTGGAGCAGGGAGAAGGATCAAAACAACTGTGATGTTTCACAGGTGGCTTGGTGGTGGCAATTTTATGTGGACAGCACCTGAGAGAAGTCAAACATAGTACAAAAATGAACAATGAAGTAAAATTATATAAATTTTTAAAAAGATGAAACCCTTTTTTTTTTTTAACGAATATTCAGAGTCTCAGGGTGAACAAGCTGATTGTGAACTTGATCATCTCATTAGATTGGCAGGGAGCAAGTGGGGACCCCTTTTTTGTCTAGTGAAAGGAAAGGTTGTTTGTAACAGTCTTTGAGAATAAAACACTGAGATTATTTCAGCATAAGTTAAAAATGATATCTTAGATTTTGTGTTTTTTATGAAACTGATGAGTATGCGAGAGAGACTTGGTATGCTCTGCTTTTCACTTTCATTATGCAGATGCACAGAGTTGAATTTCAGTAGCCCCTCGGAGGGATTCTCAATTTCTCTTGATGGGCCAGCAGGACCAAGTGGGGGTCCCTTCGGTGGAACCGGGTAGAATAGGCTTCTCATCATCTAAGAGCCTACTGGGCCAGAGAGGGGCCACCAAGGAAGATAGGAAGAGGCCTGATGTCTGCAGGGCAAGGAGCATAGAGGCTCCCTGGGGCGATGGTACAGGGTGTTGGGATTGCTGAGAAAGAGGCAAGTTCTGGGGCACACAATGAGGGATCCTGCCATCATCACATCTGCTGTGCCTGGAGCTGGCTCACCTTGGAATTGTTTCACAAATCCTTTATCATCAGAGTGAGAGGGATGCCAAACCACCAGTCTTGTCCCATTTTACAAATGAGGATAGTGAGGCCCAAGGAGATGAGGTCATTGGCATCTTTCTGCCTCTGCAACAGCAGACTGGAGGCCTGGGCAAAGGTCTGAGTAGGCATTGCCCCTTTCCCTTGTGTGGAACTCAGCCTAAGGGTGTTTTTCATTCTAGTTATGCCCAGATTCCCTCCTGTCTTACAGTGTTGGAAGTCCTGGCTGCCATGGACTGTTCCCAGTGTCGGGGGCCCAGCTGGGTAGCTCTACACCTTGACGCTGCTTAGGTGGGCCGCCTTATAAACCAGAAACTCAATCTAGTGGCTTGACTTGGGGCTTTGAAGGATGACCCCTCCCGCCAACCTTCTGATGTTGACTTAGTACCACAACCCCCAGAGACTTCCAGCCACATAGCAGTTCTGACCCACTTTTGTTGGGCTGAGCTGCAGGGGGCACCGTTTGCAACTCTGCCAGCTTGCGCCTTGAAGGGAAATAAGCTCAATTAAGTAGGCAGGTCCCAGTGAGGTTTTTCTTCAAACCGTTATTAATCTCATGGAGCATGAGAAAAAATTACAACCTCACATCGCTCTGCTCCATTTTCATCTGTGTCTGTGTTCAGGGCAGAGGGTCACACAGGGCAGGTGGGGTAGCGGGGAGATGCCTTTGCTGCTGAATGAAAAGCCGAGCTTCTCTCCAGCCTGGCTGTGCTGTCTTTCTCCAATCCTTGGTGTCTCTCCCTCTTTTTCCTGCCTTCCTACCTCCCAGGACTCTGCTCTGAATTCCTCCGATTGTCGTGGCCTTGGTTCATGGAAAGCCTGGAGTGTGTTATAATTTTGTTTTCTGAACTTCTCCTTTTTTTTTTTTTTTTTTTAAACAGAGCAGCACTTTCCAGAGGTGATGCTGGGGGAAGAATTTCTTAGCCTAAGTCTGGACCAGGTGTGCAGCTTGATATCCAGTGACAAGCTGACCGTTTCTTCAGAAGAGAAGGTATGGCGCGGTCCTCCAGTGAAACCGGAGCCTCGCTTGGGAGGTGGTCAGGGGAGGGACCAGTGAAATCTCTTCTTTTCCAGAGAAAAATAATTTAATTTTTGTCCTTTCAAGAAAGTCCTCTGGTGCTCACTTTGGCAGCACATATACTAAAAAACATCTTCTGTGCCATGCCCACTACATTCACCTCTGGACCCTTTAAGGAAGAAACAGGATGATGATGATATCAGTGACGAAACTACCTCCAATTACTGTCCACTTACAGTTTGCCACACGTTGTGCTTCACACTTCATGTTCCTCATTTCATTCACCCTCTGTACCGCAGCCTTGTGAAGCAGGCTGTCCCCACATTGCACATGAGGAGAACTGAGACTTAGGCAATTATTAGCTCATGCAAGGTCACTCAGCTGGTTACTGCAGGTCTGGGGCTCCTTGCCCCCTGTCTTAATCACTATCTTACATGGCCTGTTGTGTTACAGAGCATTTAAACCAGTGCTGACCTTTGAGAACATCTCCAGTAGGGGGTTGGAGTTCTGACTGATGAGGAATCTGAAGTCCCCAGAGAAGACAGGAGCTCATGAAGATTACGTAGTTAGCTATTGGCCACCCCAGGACTAGACCCAGCTCTCCTGAAAGCCAGACCCCTAACTCAATGACCACACACCTCTTCCTTTATCCTGGAAGCTGTTTCTACCCATTGCCCAGCTGAGCCATCCCTGCAGGCCTTCCCGCTCTGTTGCTTGGGATTATTTCTCTCTTTCCTTCTTTACCTGTTGAATTCTCAACTGGCTCGTGTTCCTCTTCTACCAGGAAGTGTCTCTCCTCCCGGGCTTAATGGTCCACTGTACTGAAAAGAACATATGTTTGCAGTGTCCAGATCTCACCTTGAGATGCTGTGCCTCTCGATCTGTTTCCTCATTTGTGAAGTGAGGAGAGTAATAGAACATATTACACAGGATGGCTGTGGTGGTTAAATGTGATAATGTATGTCAAATGCCTGCTAGAGACCTGGTGCCTAGTAGGTGCTCACTCAGTGGAGCCGAACTCAATAAGGACCTTGCATCTGTAACTAATGCCCTCCTCTAGATTTCAGGAGAGCGCTCACCTGTCATTGTAGTTAGTTTTGAGCTGGTATTACCTCCTTCATGCAACTGTGAGGTCCCTGATGGTAGGGGCCACCTCTTTCTTATCTCTGCTTCCTCTGGATGCTCACTGTTTCTAGAATTAACCTACTTCACTCTTAAGAGTCTAAGCTTGAGGGCTTTTCCTCAAGGAAAAGAATTTTGCAGTGCAGTTGAGACTGTGTCCAAAGAATGGGATGAAACCTACAAGTCCCAGCCTGTTGTCCTGCAAAAGTCCAACCAAGGAGAACTTTTTGATCATTGGAACTGTGAGCTGCCCCAGGATTTCAGAGAATTTGGTTCAATAAAGTGGACTCCTCTGCTTCTATTACTGATATGAAGTTGCACACCAAGGGAAGGAAAGCTTCTAGTCTGGCCAGAGGCCCCTTCCCGCCCTGATTTCAACAAAAGAGGATTCTTTGGTTTCTGTATACCGTCTTCTGAATTGTGCTACCAAGTTGGCACAATTTTAAGGAGTCTTCCTGTCAGTTTGCTGATTATATGAATGTTGGGGTAGTTGGGCAGTTTAGTTTCTGCTTGAGCATGTCCTCCCAAACAGGTGTAGCTTGAGAAAATGGAAGCAGTCACGTAAGCAGCAGGATTCGGATCAACATGGAGGTGTTTGCGTCGAGGGGGGCACTCTGATACCTTGGATCTATGCAGACCTATCCTGCTTAGTTCTCAGTAAGCTTTTATAGCTTATAGAATTGGGCCTTATCTCTGCATTCTGTGTGGGGAGCGGGGGAAGTGGGAGCTCTTAGTAGGCAGAGGCAGTAGAGTAGTGTGCAAGCCACCTGGGCTTTGGACTGAGGCAGACGTGGGCCCATGCCCAGCGTGGTGCTTACTAGGTTTGTGACTTTGAGAAGTTTGCTATCTCTTTGAACTGTAATTTCCTTACGTGTAAAATGGGACTACAAAAAGTACCTTCTTTATAAAGTTGTCATGAAGATTAGAGATAATGGTTGCAAAAATATCAAATGCACTGTTTGGCAGGTGTTCAACAAATGTCAGCCAAACATTGTGCTCTCAGTGTAATTACCATCTTCCTCTGTTCTGAGGCACCATTGATAACAATAATGGTATCAATTTTGCAAGTGACAATAGTTAAGTGACTCCACCGAGTATTAATAGAAACATGACATGTACACACCTCAGAAGTTTTTTGTAGAGGCCCTCATTCATATATGTATATATGAGTTGCTCTTTCTATATAATTGAAATTTGGAGTGTAGTATTTTTCACACTAATGAAGTTCTATGTCATCTGATTTATTTGTAACTTCAGAGTGATATGATGCCTTTGAGAAAGTATTTTACTCATGACACTGATGCCTTTGTGCTTTTCAGATTGACAGTGTATTTTGAGACTTAGCAATGAATAATAAGGTTTGGTTTGCATTTTTCTATTTGGTGAAATCCATGGTTCCATTTCCCTTTAATCACATATTTTTAGAAGTTAAATAGCTGAAAGTGTTTAACAGTTACATGTTCATCATTTGAATGCTAAACCTTTAGGCTTTGAAAATTATGTGAGATGTTCCAGGAAATTGGTGATTTCTACTCCCTTTAATTAATTTAATATGAACAACCTCTTACATGCGCAGTAGTTTTTTATTTCAACGTTGCATTATAGTAAAAATTTTTAGTGTATTTGAAGTAAGCCAGAGATTTTAATTTAAGCTAAAATTAAACTGCATTTAATGTTAACATATGCAGAAAATTCAACTGAATTGGTAATCAGGTAACCTGAATTCAGCTAAATCACACTTGAACAGAATGTCAACTATGTTATAATTGGCTTCACTGGTTGAAGCCCACAGAGTTCTTTCAATGCCTGTTGTAAAAAACAGCAAGATGTGAGACATTAAATGTGAAAACCAGTGCATCTTGTAATAGAGAAAATGTGGTTTTTAGTGTTAATAATGTTTATAAGTGTCAGTGGGTCCAAAGAGCGAGCTTGTTAGGAATTTGGAAGTATGGGCTTTGCAATGAGTTCAAAACACGGTCTCACAAATCTGACAAGAGGAGTGACTTTGGGCGTTAGTTATCTCACCAGAGTGCATGTACCCTGGCTAGTCAGGGCTTTTGTCCCTCTCATGGTTATTATTAGAGTGGGGCTAGGTTTGTGGAAGACATTAAACAAATACTTGTTGGCTGTGATGAATAATGGATAAGAGGGTCTCAGTTAGGTTGTGCTTTTCTCATCTACAGAAGGGGAGTAATAATAGTGTGGTATTTATCTTACAGAGTTACTCTGAGGATGAGGTGAGATAAACATGAAAAGCACTTAGCACAAGGGAAGCACTCATTGCTGTAAGATGTGATTATTATTGTCTTCATCACTACTGCTACCTCTTATATAACTACTACTGTCATTGCTATTTGTTCTACTACTATTATTGCTGCTATTACTGTTACTACTACTACGGCTACTGCTGACTATTCACTGGGACCTTTCTCAAAGGGAAGTTGTTCCAGAAACTGTACTTGCTGGGTGGTTGTTGTGTGCTGCAGCCTAGTGTCTAGCATGGGCTGAGGGTGTTAGTGGTCTCTCTTGGTTCCCTGTACCTTGAGGGCCCCCAACCCTGTCTGTGCTTCTCCCAGGGCTCAGATAGTGTTCCCCCTTCGACGTCACTTGCTTTTGCCCGTGCCTTATTTCCTTCACAGTACTCAAACTCCTTGAGGTCTTCAGCGTACCTTAGCCATCTTTTGTCAGTGTGCAAAGCTGTGGAGAGCCCTGGGGGCACTCGCCAGACCTTCCCTGAGGGAGTTGAGAGGCAGACTAGGGCTGGACTATGCCCTGAGCCAGCTGAGGTTATGGAAATAACTTTGTCGCTTTCCCAGAAAATTAGGACAGATCTGGAAATTAGAAGTCAGAGAAGGACATGGATCCTTTGCTCTTTTTCCCTTCTGTTTTTCCTTCATATAGTTTTTGTTTTAAAATCGCTATTTGAGAGAAGATAAATGGATCTGGCAAGAGTCAGAAAATCAAACCCCTAGTCCTTTGAATAGGACCTTCCTTTTCCACCCCGCCTTCAGCCCAAGATAGAGGGCAGACAGGGGAGAGCCAGTTCCTGCCAGTCCTCTGATTCTTCCCCACGGCAGTGTCACTGGGCCAGAGCTAAGCCTCTGAGCTGACAGCCTGTTTATCTTGCCTCTCTGTGACCCAAAGCTCGACTCTCACTGTGGACAGCCTCAGTGAGCCAGGGGCAGAGTAAGCAACCTTTGGGCAAACTTACTAATGACTTGAATTTCTGGCTACTGGATATTTCTGAGTCTTTGCTTTCTTAGCTGGTAAATGTTTCTCTTTCTCAAGAATTCCATGCTTTCTTATGAAATACTACTAAGACTTTTCAGATTGAATACAAATGTGGAAATGGCCTACATTTTAGTACTGGTCAGGAAAAAAAAATGGTTAGCTTACTTATAAATTCGATGATTAGATGAGAACTGCAGACTAGTTGCTCTCAGCATGATCGCAGTTTTAATGTGTTATTGTCTCCTAAAACTGTAACCAGAGGCCAAATTCTGCTATGTTCTGGAAGTGCTTGTGCCCTCGCCTCCCAGGATAACTGGTACTGAGTCTTCCTGTTGGAACTCCAGCTTCTCCAGCCAGAGAGGGTGTGGGATGCAGGCTGGAGTCCTTGGCCACCAGGCTAGCCTGAATGCTTGCTGCTGAGGCATTTTTCTTTCATTCTGCAGGTACACCTCACTGCCTGGCCTGTGCTTGGCAGCCCTGCCTTACTCTGACTTGAGACGTTAGGGTTGCCAACTTCCCAGTCTGCAAACAGTGGTCTGGCCCAGGCCTCTGTCTCAGTCTCACTGTCACTGTTCTCCTCTGGAGAGTAAACTTCAATCAGCACCTACCAGCATTGCCTT